GATAATTGGAGCTCGGCGAATGGTCTGGTAAGCAATATAGGAACTTTCAATGAAAAATTTTTACTCTCTAGCCCAATCTTGAAACTGGCCTGAAAACTCCGAATTTTGGCAGCATGCTATCGTCTATGGCAGGTTTTCTCGCAATCCTTTCATGCACTCGTTTGCTGAACCATATAAATATTACTATCAGATGGCGGGAACCGATTATTTATTAAATTTTCTACGGTAATTTCGCAGCTAATCTGCAAATGAACAATGTTCAGCAATGCCTTGGAAATCGCGAATGGCTTAAAACAATATTTTAGTTTTCTTTAGCACCGAGCTATGTTCCCGTCACAAAACCTCTACGAGATTCAGTGCTGAGAATATATTTTAGACAAGAATTTTGCAAATTGTCCTCGTTTGGCTGCCCTATATTTAAGGAACTTCAGCAAAAAACTCTAAAACTTTCTCAAAAAGGCAAAGGCAACTGCAATGTATTCGCAATACTTTTCTGGCGCAGATGCATTACGCTTTTATCATAGCCGATAATGTAGTTTGCAGCCAAAAAGTGTTTTAGGGCTATACGCAACATTCACGCTTCACATTGTACTGTCGGGTAGAGGCGCGAAGTAGGGAGGTATGGCAGAATAGCCGTTATTTGGCTTACGACTGTTAATGCTTTTCCACGTTACTTACCGTTTACATCTAGTGACAGATTTTAAAATTATGCTATCGTTCCTGATTTCTTTGTCATATCTTTGGCAGATCGCGATCCGGTTCCTTTCGTCGAGCAAATTCAGAAGTCATCGCCGAATATATGAGCAGTTTTCATCTTGCGTTTTCTATTTGGTATGTTCGGAGCTGTTTTCTTCTAATGATCACATTTGTAACAAAACTGCAGTCGTTGCATGTTGAAAATCAAATGTTTTTGTGTCGGTTGCTGAGCACTGTTTTGTCGTGCATAGTTTTTGTGATATTGCTTAGATTTTGTTGTGCTGGGGAATTTTTCAGTAGAAATCTGTTTTGCTATTCATCTTCCAACGCTTGTTGCCGCCGCTGATACAAATGCGAAATAAATTATGATTAAAATAAAAATTTAAGTCAGTTTTGAACTGCCACTTGTCACATCACTTTAGGTTTAACTGCTAAACGGTGAAACCTGCCATCAAAATGAAGTATCACTAACAAGTCAGACAGCCCAAACGTAAATCTCTACAGTTTTGATAATAACGATTTCTGCAAGTCAAAGATTTGCTAACACTTTCCGGGGGTAGTTACAATGAAGCAGTGTCAGTGCTAGAGGGAAATCATGTGTAGGACAAAGATCAACTGTTAACAAGATTGGAATTTTATACCTCCGGATTTTGAATGACCGCTTTACATCCATGTTCGAGCATAGGAATGAACATCGATTGTAACAATTTCGTTTTGCCACTTAATCGTAATCAAAACTTGTACATTGGACATTGAAAACTTGTCAGACACTACTTTGCGTCATACAAGTAATGGTAATCGCTCATTAGCACAAAGCTGAATTATTGATTTATTCCAGTGCTAAATTGAAGAACACACTGGGCTGCTTATTAAGAATGCAATAATGGTAATTAGTTGTGATAAGCCAGAAAAATGGAAACGCTGCTGGAGTTGATGAAATCCGCCCA